TAAATTTTTTTGTTGATCACAATTATGTGCGCAAATATTTTTTTGCAGATCATAAGATCGTCGAATTTCCAACACTGATTACTATTACATAAAAATTATTATTCAAAAAAACGGTCTAATTTAGATTGTTTTGTTGAATTGAATTCTATTTTTTTAATTTTCTTTGACATTTTTTAACAGTTTCAATTCCTCATTTGTAAATTCCTTAAACTGTTGTTCAACAAACAAGTTTACTTTTTCAATAGCCAATAAAATATCTTGACTTGAAATAGGTGTCTCTTTGATGTCTTCTTCATCCTGATTTTCTTCATTAAAATTCAACATAGAAATTATTACTTCTTCATTCAGTCATCAATGGAAAGATATTCTAATCCAGATAAAGGATTTGTAAGTTTAAGTTCATTAATTAAATTTTGCAATTCATTTTCATTGTCATTTCTCGAAGAATCTAGGAAAGATGTAACTTCAGTAGAGTTTTCATCTACACTGGGTAAAATTGCTGTTTTTTTCCAGCAATTAATTATTGTTTGATTGGTGACATTCTCCCAAGCTTTTGCAGTATACTTAATTGCATGTTTTATAGTAATTGGAACAATTTCTTCACCTTCATTTTGTAATTCATAATTTTTCATTTTTTTTTTCAAAAAAAGTTTCTTGTAATTTGCCTAGAGGTTGGAACCGGTTTTATTTTCAAGAACCGGTTTTAATCACCTTTTCAAAATCAGAACCGGTTTTAAACCGAATATAATAAAACCGGTTCTAACCGGGCAACCGGTTATAAATAAAACCACAAAACCGGTTTTAATTTTGTGGGGAATATATCAAATGAAAGCAAAAGTTATTTAATTATTTGTTTTCCAAGTCAAACTTGTTGCTTATATACATGCCTATTAATTATAGCATAATAATTACATGCAAGTATTCAGCATTACTTACCATAATAATAGTATATTAATATGGAATTTTAAATGAAGCAAAATTCATAATAAAATAGAGTAATAGTAAATAATCCTGTCCTTCATTTTCTAAAACAGTGATTTACATGTGATTAATCAATTCAAAATTTTTTTATTATTAAAACAAAAATTAAAGATTTTTGGGTGGAAATAAATTGAAATGTTCACTATTTCTTTTTAAAAATAAAATTTGATTGACCAAATCTGGAGATAATTGAGTACGTTTTGCAGAAATATGGTTGCCAGCATCTGAAAACAACCTCTCGCTAGGTACAGAGGTTGCAGGAATTGATAAATATTTTTTGACGAGACCTTGCAGTCCATAAATCAGTAGTCAAATGAACAGCAATAACATTATTATTATTTAAAAGTGAACAAAGTTGTTCCTTACAGCATACAAATGAATCATTGATTATTGCTTTTACTGTTTTGTCACATAGAATTCTATAACCTGGCTCACAGATAAGGAGTAATTCACGAAAGTATTGATTTTGTAAAATATATAGTGGTTGAATGAATTTGATGATAAAGGTTACAAGCTTTTGTGTAATAAGTTCCTGTCATTTTGGTGAGCATGGAGCTGCTGCTTTTAAATATCCTATAATTTGAGTTTGATCACGTCGGGGCTATTAAATATTAATTAAACTCTATTTTAGAAGGATAAAAAGAATGAGGATATGGATAAACACCTGCAGCAGAAAGCAATTACCTGATTAGAATTATCTAAAAACTGAAAATAATTTTCTTTTGTGATTTTGTGTTTATCACGCAAATGGACAATAAGATTTGTTGTGTTTCCACCTTTTCGGCTGTATGCATAAGGTTTTTGACGTGCACCAGCTAAATTAATTTCACATATTTTGCAATAGGTGATGGAAGTATTAATTGGATCAGTGTGAAAAAAATAGGATGTATGGCTTTGATTGTTTCGGGATTTGGTGGTGCTTTGATTGTTGTGGGAATTAATGATATTAATACTATTTCGTTTTTTTCTATTTAAACTGTTAGAACTGTTGGTTGTAACTGTTTCTGTTTCAGAAATGATTTCAATTGAAGAAGTAGGTTCATATTCAAAAGGAGGAGGAGATAAGGGAATGTCTTCTATGTCATCCATTATTTTTTTTTTTTTTCAAAGAGAAAAAAAATTTTTCTTATAAATAACTTTATTCACAAGTGCAACAATTAATATACAAATATTTACATTATCACGAGTACATTAATGTACAAATAAAGAAATAACTCTAAACATTATTGCAGAACAAATTAGTTTATATTACTAATTATGTTAAAATAAAATTATTTGTACAAAATTATTTTTAAATAATGAAAGACAGCTTGTCTGTTTGTAAGAGTGTTCAATTTGTTTTGACAAGTGACTCTTTACAATTTGGTAGCAGTGAATGTTTTATACATATGTACATATGCACATTCACATTTACATATTGCGAAATAGTGATTTAAGGATCACAGGGAATTTGGAAAAGTTATCTCTGGCAATGAATTCATACTAATCCCGTGTATAATTAATTTTCTTTTATTTTATATTTACCACTATTTTTTTTTATTTCTTTAGTGAGTAAATTTCAACAATCAGAATTATCAGATGATTCTACAGATTTTGAAGAAATTTATGAAACCAGTAATATATGTGAAGCAGCAATTTCTACTAAAACTTTGCATAAAAAAACGATTAAAATTAACTTTTTTGTTTTAATTAAACCTAAATAAAATTGAATTTATTTTTGTCATCTTTTATCATACTTTCGACTTTACCCTTTGTCACTTTTCGTCACGTTTCATCACTTTTCGTCACGTTTCATCACGTTTTGTCACGTTTTGTCACGTTTTGTCACTTTCATCACGTTTCGTTATATGTGCCCCATTTGATGAAATACTTTTTACACTCCAAAATATTTTCGTCACTCAACCTTGATATACATACACTTTAGTTATTGTTTTTGTTTGAAAATGGTGACGGAGAATTGATAAATGCTTTATATTTAGCACAGTCTCTTTACATAAAGTTTAATAATAAAACCGGTTCAACCAGTTTTATTAAATTCGGTTGCCCGAAATAAATCGGTTTTATTATATTCGGTTTATCGAATATGAAAAATAGGAATCAGTTTTACGTTGCAACCGGTTGCAACCGGTTTTAAGTCGATTGTACCCAAACCGGTTCCAACCTCTAATCCAAATCAACTCTACCATCGGAAAGGCTTGCAACTGGAAAACACCTCCCAGAACATAAAGATAAAAGAGCTGCGTGTGTATTATGTAAGTATGAAAGACAGCAGATTGAAGAAAAATCAGTGAAAACTGAAATCGTTATTTTATTTGATGTACCATTTGTAATGTTTCTTTATGTTGTACATCTGATATTCAGATATGTTTCAAAAACATAATAATAAAAGGTAAATGAATGAATATTTATAAATGTCACCTTCATCATTGTAGTCCAATAGTGCCATATTTTTTCTCTAAAATTCAACTTTTTTACTGCTGTGACAAATTCAAATATGCAGATTCTAATTTCACACATAATTGATATATATTTAATATAATTTTTCTTTTGAATAGCTTGGAATCAAGAACCTTCATCACGTCCAAATATGCCTACTTTTCTTAATAAATTATTTATTTTATACAGAAGTCACTCGCTGCACAATCTTTCATTTGATATAATGACATTAGAAGATGGTATAAAACTTCACGAGGATAAAAGTGAAACTCCTTCACCACAGTTATCCAAATCACCACCATCTGCTCCAATTAGTCAAGATAACAAAGAAACAAATAATGAACCAAACAATGGAATAACCAATGAAAACAGAGCCATTATTGATAAATCTAAAGATAATTGGTTAGGATGGCTTGATGAAACAATTCAGAAGGAACACATTAATTTTTATGAATATAGTAGTAGATTTAAAAATATTCTAAAAACTGGTTCAGGTGGTTCTGGAGAAGTTTATAAAGCAACATTAGATAATAGCAGTATTTGCGCCTTGAAGTCTTATAAACATGGTATGACAAATATGAAAGAAATTACTAATGAGGTAAATTACAATATATTTTTGGTTGTGGATTAAAAAAAATTTTCAACTAATGATTTCAGGCTCAAATATAGTTGATAAAGAGGAAAATTACATGCAACAAAAAAATGAAGACAGTAATTCTTTCAGTCATCCCAGTATTATTACGACAGAATCTACTGGCACTGATTCACTGCAAATAAAATTTGATAAAATCTTGGATCTTTAGAGTAAATAGAACCCTGAAAACTATGCACACTAAAATATTATCAATCTAATTGTAAATATATATGTACTGTGATATTATGTAGATTACTTAATTATTAAATTCTTATTTGTATTTATATTATTATTATTTATATAACCAGTGTTGTTAGCAGACACAGGCATGGATGGACATTGATTGTCCTGTCCTAGACAAAGTTATAATTTTCCTTGTAATAATGTCACTTTTTGAACAAATGAATAAATTTTTTTAATTAACAAATTAATCAATCAGCCAGGTAAGGGAATTTTATTTGGGGGGAAGGAGGAGTAATAAAAAATACAACAAAATAATTTAGCTCATTAAGAAATTCATCAGGAATATTTGTGAACTATGTAATCTTTTTAATGCCACATTCCTATCTTTACTTATTCTTTTTCTATGAACTACACCTTTATAACCATTTAAACAAGTATCTTGGTATACACCTTCACCTATCTTTCAATATTTGTTAAATAATTATAAGGAATCCATTCAAGATAATATTTATTAGAACATATAATTGTATTTTTAATCAATTCATCTAATGTTTCATTGCCATTAGTGCTAATCACATGATTGACACCATGAATATGAAGCATTGTACCTTTCCTTTGAATATTCATCATCATCATTTTTGTAGAAGTATCATTATGATGCTTATTTTCATTTAAAGTGTTTTCCATCTCCAAAATTATATTTATATAGTTTATTTTTTTTTAGCCACACTTGATTTTAATATTTTCCCAATGCTTTGGCTCTTCAACATTGCATTGACAATTAATTTACATTGATAAATTTGGTATATCAATAATACAATTTTTTACAGGGATATGTCACACGACTATCATAATCATGCTAAAATATAAGCTTTTCTATTAATAAATTAATTTCAAAATAAATTTTATATTTTATATAATTCATGAAATTAAGACTACATGCATCAAAAGCTAATCAACTTACTTAAATCCATGACAAAATAAATTGCTTGGGCAATTGTTTATGACGAAGTATTATTATATTATTATTGTATCCGGATATTTCTATTGTACTAATACATACACAAGTTCTCGCGTAACACAAAAAGCAAAAGGATAATCCTAATGAAATTTTCAACAAAAAATTCCCAATAAAAAAAATGAATGAAGGTATTTTTTCATGCACTATTTTAAAAATATATAGTAATAGTAAAAGGATTTTACATCATAATTTAATATTTACTTTATAATAAAACAATGTTTAGCTAAATTATATAAAGGTAAATAAATATTTTACAAAATAAATTTTATTAAATCATAGTCTAATTAAATAAATTTATTTTTTATTTCATAGAGGATAAGTATTATATTATAAATTAACCTTTACAACACCAAATAAACTTTATTAAGACATCATCTAATTAAATAAATTTATTTTTTATTTCAAAGCTTGTAAGTATTATATTATAAATTAACTTTTACAACACAAAATAAACTATTAAAACATCATCTAATTAAATAATTTTATTTTTTATTTCTTTACAATTACCAGGGGGTAAGCATTATATTATAATTAACTTTTACAACACAAAATAAACTTTATTAAAACATCATCTAATTAAATAATTTTATTTTTTATTTCATAGTTGGTAAGTATTATA